ACGAAGGGTTAATAAGTGAAAATCGAGTATTAGTACTAATAGTCAATACTTTTTGTTTGTTCTATTTATAACTCCTTATTTCTTGTTGCAGAAAAATTGCCGATACCAAGTTGACGCAGCAGGGTGTCATTTTGGCATTGAAGAAGTAGGCGTTCGCCCTGCATCCACCTCAATTTGAATTGAAGCAATTTGATACGCGTGCGAAAAAAATAATTCAAAATGACGTCAAGCAACAACACAACGGGCCAAGAAAATGCGGGGACAGGAGCTAACACCAAGAAAGGCCACAGGTTAGCGTGCATGTCTGCATTTATATATAGATTATGGTGCATAGAACAAACATAAATTTCATGTTTGCTACGAGTTACATCTCGTTTCTGGCGATTTGATTGATATTTGTAAACTGTTCTATGAAAGGAGATTGATGATTGACACTTGTATTTAAAGAAAGCGTCTAGATGTTTTGATACTGCGTTTGATCGATATTATTAGTAATAATATTTAAAATTTGACGATATTTCATACATAATTTTGATTCGTATTCTGATAAGCATAATTTGTTAAGAAACTTTGATTGTTTTATAATAAACTTAAATTGTTATTCACATATTGTTTAAATATTCGCATATAGCCAGTGATAATCATTTAAACGGTAACAATCATTTAAATCTGTGGATTGTTTTTGCAATTCATATAGCGGCTAAGAAAACAACGCGATTATCAATTGATATGAATAGAAGAGCTTTGTAATATAAATTCATAATATCCGTTCAAAATACGCAAAGAAATTATATACGAAAACTAAAATATTTGCCCGTCTTGATTTTTATTAAATAAAAACCAGGGGATTAAATTATTCGGCAGGGGGACACCACAGTAGTTTCGTGCGCGAACTCGTGGTGAACAGCCGCCGACACCACATTGGTAAGCACAGTATCGTTCTGTTCTTTGTTAAAAAAATTACGTTCAACAAGTTTTTTAGTTTTGTAAGTACTTCTACTCTTTCGTTGGCCAAGGACGAGTGGACGGTTAAATTTTAAAATTTACAATCTGTCGAAAATTACGAAATACGGAACTTACGAGATCTAACGATTAGTACAACTTAAAAATTTACGATCTTCCGATAATGTCCAGAAGGGTCGAGGACAAGCCAAGTAATACGAATTAGCAGTACCGGCGATTAAATTTTTACGAGACGTGCGGTCGCCAAAGTGTTAAAAAGCGAAATTAGTTGTTAGTGTTTGCCCTTTTTCGTAAGCCCATTTGATACTAGTTGTTGAAGTTGTCTTAATTTTATTTGTATTTTTAGAATATTGCAGCATCATTAGTTTTCAATATTTTATGAATCAGTTTGTATAATAATTTTATATTTATAGAATATAGCTGTTTTGGTAAATTATATATTGATCGATACCTACATTTTTACTAATACTTCTATGATCATAAAAAATCAATATAAATTAATGTTAATTACACGCTTTTATTTGATAATAGCAGTCTGCCAGAAGGCAGGTCTATGGTGTGAGAGCATCACAAATTGATGATTCCTTTTCCATTCCTTGCTTATTATTCCCATTACCTTTAAACACTTTTTATACATATTTATGCATTTTTCTTTACTTATTTCTGCTTTCATGCTTTCTAGTCATGTGCTTTGGTTTTCAGTTCTCTTTATCTTCTTTCTCTCGTAAGTCATCAAGCGTTTGCATTTTTCTTCTTACCATTCCTTTCAGTTCCTCTATTTTACTTTCGAATGCGTCCTGTAGGAGGCACTATTTTTGCAAAACGGGTCTGATCCTGTTTCCTTTCCTTTTCAGGATCGTGCTTTAGAGTCCTTTCTTAGCTCACTCTTTCTCATTTCAAATCTTCTCAATTTGTATCCAGCATCAAACTCTATATATAGTTTTGGTCGGCCTTTCTTAGAGTACATGTCTCTGATTCTAAGAGCTATGCTCCAGACATAGCACTTTATAGTCTCTTCTGCAAGTCGAGACCCAGCTTGCTCTTATTTGTAAATGCGCTTGACGCTTGCAATTCTTACCATGATCTTCCTCTCGTGCAGTATCCGTCTCTGGTCAGGATGCTTCCCAAAAATTTGAAGTGATCCTCGTCTTCCAATTGTCGATTTCCTACCTAACATATATATATATATATATATATATATATATATATATTTGTGTGTGTGTGTGTGTATTAGAGATGACGGAGTTATCACCCCGATACAACTCCTCCATCGGAGTGAATCCGAGTGGATTTGTCTCACCGGATTTGTCATATCTAACTTCCCTAAACTGGTACTAAATCTGTTACTGCGTTTTTGCTTTGGGAAGGAAGCTGTTGCTTTCTCGTCTCACAGGCAGTTTAATGACCTTCTAGGTATACGGGTTTTTCCAGAAAATACAAAAATATTACTTCAAAGATACAGAACAATGAAATTGTGTTCAAATATGAAAAGCTCCAATGTATAATTTATTGAATAGTAAGGGGTCATATTTCCAACTACGACAATCTTTAGCCGTAAATGACGGCAATCAGGAATATACATACCGAAAAATACACGAAACAAAATGCATTTAATCTGGTTTTTCCATAGCCTGAAATAACAATAATTTAGAGTGCAAAATATATTAGTGACGTCAATAGTATTTAAGCAGCAAAAAATATATAGTATATTACTTTATACAATATAGTAATAATATGCTAATAGAACTACCCGATATAATATTAATTCTCGAATGGAAATAGCAGAAGAAAAAATTAGAAACCAGAAGTATTATTATTTGGTGAAAATATTTAATGATGTTTTGCTTTTATTAGAAAGTTTACTACATTATTTTTATATAAAATTAACTCAAAAAATCAATTATTTTCTCATCAAAAGAAAATAATTGCATTGAATTTGATTCTCAAGTTTTGCGTTTTTACTTTGGTCAACACTGTTAAAATTACGAGTTATGGAGTCGATCATGTGGTCGACCGAAAAATTTTACAACTCGTTATTTATTTATGAATTTTTTAGAAAAATTATTTTGATATTTTTTAATTTTCTTTTATTCATAAATTTTCATTTCAAAAAATTAAATGGGATTTGACAAATCCTTAGATGCATAAACAACGCACTATAGAACACATTTGTGTCGAGTATTTCGGTTTCAAAGTTGTCGGAGTCGTGGAGTTGTTAAGCGGATATAACTCCTCCCTGAAGCGGTGTCAAATCCGAGTCTATACGGCTTCGGATATGATAAGCCCATCTGTAGTGTGTATGTATGTATATGTATGCACAAGCCCTTGTGTGTAATTATAACCTTTTTATTCTAATAATTAATATATGGTCATGAATAATGATTGATTATGAGATTTGACTAACAAAGTAACTTCTGTAATTCAGTGGAATGTATATACCATTCAGCAGACTTTAAATGTAATATTAAACCACATTTTGAATCTTAATATTTTTTTAATTTTCTTCATTATTACAGAAGGCAAGAATCAATGTATGCTATGACTGGCCTGTACTCCTCGGATGCTGGCGACTCGGAATCCGGTGGGGAAGGCAGTTGTTCTGCGCAAAACGGCGACGTAGGCCAGCAAGGTGATGAATTAGGTAATCAAATGACGGCGACTGCCACGAATAATGTGTTGGCATCCGCGATCAAATGTCATAGTCGCCAACCATCGGCGAGTATGGTTGCCCAAGTAGCCGCGAGGGAGAAGGAGAAGTCGCCAAGGACTTTGTTAGTGACGGCCCCTGACGATACCAGGGATTGTGGCATACTAACGTGCAGGCCGGCTGTGATTCAGAGATTTGCGGCGGTTAAGGTGAGATCTATGTTTTACTTATAATTAGTTCACAATGTTTCTTTATAGAATGTTTATTAATGAGTTCAACTTTCCTTCTTTTTGAGATACTGTCTAATACTGAATGTATGTGCGATGGTTTTCACTTTTTAATAACTGAAACGTTTTCTTATTTTTTTTTATTTTTTTTGAATTACACATCAATGACTATCTAAATCAAACACCTATTTACGTCTAGTAACATGTATTTTTCTATTTTTGCTCATTGCATTTAAGATGCCATCATAATAAAATTTTCGAATTCTTTTTTTTGCCTTCAAATCTGATATATTGGAAAACGACATCCTTCGCACACCCATAAATTATATATATATAATATATATATATATATATATATATATACATATATACGCTAATCTCGATATCAATATCAATTTGTACTTATATTATGCATAAAAACAATTAAAGCAAACTATACAAAAGAGCATTTTTGAAGTATTACAAAATGTCAATTATTTTTAGTCATTATGCACATACGTGATTTTGTAACAACGAAATGTAAATGTATTTATTGTTCAACATAGGTCATTATTGACATGAAGCGTAATTGCAAAATAGTAAGTTCAACAATAACTTTTTAATACCAATTATTAATAACCTTGACTTACCGTTACATTCAGGTACATATAGAGAGCAATAAGTTTTGGAATATGATACTTGCACAATCAATGAGATAAATATTTGTGTCATACCTTTCAGTAAAAGTTCGATGCCAATATGACATGCATAAAATAATTGAATATGAAAAATAAACAAATATGCTTGCTACTATTTGATTGAATAAAAATCTATGTCTTGCTAGATGCTTGCTAGTCGCTATGCCACTTTTTGAATTTGTTCGAGTTCTTTTTTGTTTTTTTTATTTATTTTTTGATAATGTCAATTAGCTTAGAAATTATAAATGCGGCCTATATTTGAAAAAATTTATTGCCCGCGCATATCTATCTGTAAGTTTTCGAGCTTTTTAAAGTTTTTGAAACGAATCTATCAACGCGATAAGGACATTGAGAAAGAACAGGATGATACGAACCAAAATGAAAAATTTGGCATTTGTAGCTTTTGCAAAATTCCTGATTCCATTCATAGTTGGTTTCAACGCAGGATAATGTGGGTAAATGCCTAATTCAAAAATGAAACTGCTTTTAAAAACGTATTGTTTTTTATCTTCGGCGCCAAGTTATTAGAGTACAATATATTGTTTTTGCGTAAATTTGATTTTTTTATAAAAATGTTCTTGTATATTAAGTATGTATATTAGCCAAATGCTACTAAATGTTAAATAAATAAACTTTACACATTAAAAATTACTTAATTTAAAATATTTAGAAAATTATATTTTACATCAACAGTATTGTTACGTTGTTTTTAGTTTTCATACATTTTATTTTCTGCAGGTCTTCGTATTTCTGCTGTCTTTCCTGGTAACACTACAGCAGGCATTGAGTTCAGGTTATATAAATTCCGTTATAACGACGATCGAAAAACGTTTCGAGATACCGTCCAGTCTGTCTGGTCTGATAGCGTCCAGCTATGAGATCGGGAACGTCATTACTGTGATATTCGTCAGTTATTTGGGCAGCAGGAGACATATTCCGGTCTGGATAGCCATTGGTGCCGTCATTATGGGGCTTGGTTCCTTGGTTTTTATGGTTCCACATTTTATTGGTAAGTCGCAGAATCGATAAGTATTTTGGGTTTGATTCAAATTGTCTAGGTAATATCTTTATACGTTGCTCATCGAGTTATATTGCAATTTGAGTGATAGACTGTAGCGTCGATTGAAAATATCTTGATAAATTTCAGTTTCACTCTTATTAATTAATTTAACATTTTTAATCTAATACAAAAATTGAATAATATTAGTTTGTTTGACTTCGTATGTGTTGTCGATGGTACTTGTATGTTCCTTCTAAAAACATATTATGCACTTGTGCTAGGTGTGATTCGTAAAAATAGTAATTTAGGTTGGCAAGTAAAAAATATTTTTATATCATGAATATCAGCGGTGTTTCAACTTATAACTTACATTATAATGTCAAATCTTTTGTGTTTAATTTAGTTATTTAAATAAATGTAATATTTATTTTATTGCATTTAATGTAAATTTCTTTTTTTTTAGGTGAGCCAAATCAAGGAATATCGTCGCCCAATGCTAGCGACGATAACATCTGCAAAGGGGTGCCTGTTCGAGAGCAAGACATGGGATTAGGTCGCTTGAGTTCGGGCCTTTCTAATCCGCCACTGGCACCTCACAACACATTGAGAGAAGAGAATTGCATTCGGGGCTCTCCTAGTACAACGGCTCCTGTATTATTATTCGTAGTTGCACAATTACTATTAGGTTGTGGCGGTTCGCCTCTATTCACTCTAGGCACAACTTATGTGGACGATCACGTGAAACCAGAAAGCGCCAGCATCTACATTGGTGAGTTTTATTTTCTTGTTTAACTCTATATACCAGCCTCAAGTCAAGTTTGCATTGATATCTTTTTTAACTCCATTAGTTTATAAAGTATAGTATAATTTTATTACATTTTAAGTGCATGAGTAAACTATTTGTACTTGCTGCTGATATATATAATTATAATAATAAATTGTAGTCTCCCCGAAGATAGGTCTATGGTGTGAGAACACCACAAATCAATAATCTCCTTGCCTTCTCTTGTTTATTATTCCCATTACTATTTCATTACCATTATTCACTTTTATGAATTTTACTTTTCAAATTTCTGCTTTCATGCTCCTTCGGTTAGTGTCCATGTCTTCGATCCGTACAGAGCAATTCTCTCTGTCTCTTTAGTAAAGACACTTAGAAAGACTTACGAAAGACCAGCACAAGACCGAGCTTTGAAATGTGTTGCTGGAGGCGAATGAAGAAGATAAATTGGACAGATACGTTTACTTGCTTCATAATATATTATTAACAAATAAAATGTTCAAACTAAAACGCAAAAGTGGTTCCATCGCTAAAAACTTGAAATTCATTTCAAAGCAAAACTGCAGTCGCGGAGTTCCTTCTATTCATCCGATAAGTGAAATTTATGAATGGATTCCGATTATTACCTGTATGTTCTATAGCTAGTAGCAAATGAAAAAAGTATATTTTTTGGAAAGTCTTGTTGAGATAAAATGAGGCTGAAGCAATTTTAGTTATAAATATTTATGGAATTTGAACCACGGAGTTTTGAAAACAATGAATTTTTACGAACAAAATGTGGGGGCTATTTAAATTTCAGCTACCGTAATTTATAAATTAATAAGATAATAGAGATTCGACATAATATAAATAAAATTAAGTTTTAATATTTCAAACTTTATATATGTACTAATTTACCTTAGTTGATTAAAAATTCTAAACGAGTAACTGTATGAGCAAAATATGTATTAGAAGCTTTGTCTTTCGTGCAAACAACTGTATATATAATACATGTGCTCTAACATAATTATTTTCTGTTCATATTTTGTCATCGTGAAACAAACTTCAAGCTTATTATAATTGGCTTTTTAGTAGTTAAAATATTTAATGATGTAAAACATGTTTTAAAGCTGCATTCATTACGAATCTCATTAAGACAAGTACGACAACTCGTGTTCAATTATCAGTACTTAAAATATATATGGTTTTAAAATAGCTTCTTAAGAATGTTATAACGACATTTAAATAATTATTGAGTTCACATTTGATTATTTTTCACCATAGATGAGATAAAACGAAATATTCATTGTCAAATAATACTAAATTTTCGATACAAGTTGTTGCGAGTCATAAGCACTCAGATTTTAATTTTTTGTTGAAGTAATATGTGACAATATCATTGTATGCAATTAATACCGAGCAGTTTCTGTCAATTTATTTTTGCAACTTTACTCGTATTTTATTATGAAATTACGCCATTTTTAAAAATATTATTTATTAAAACTTTTTAAAATATTATTAATAAATTTAAACTATAAGTATCCTGTTCTACTTAATCTATTGTGTTTTGTCTAATAATACCGTAACAAAGTAACATTACTTTTTATTGTCTTCGTTTACTTCGCGGTAGCATCTTGGGAATATATGTTAAATCTTTGACTAATTTTGAACGTGTGTACATTAATTCAAAAAGCTATTTGCATATTATTCTATAGTATGTTTTCAACTTCAAGCTATGTCATAATTTGCAAGAAATGATACAATAGTTAGCTTACGTATTTTGCTTTTGGTGGATTGTGAATTCTATCGCAAAACTACACTTTATAGATTAACGTTATTTGGAACATAATAAATAATGAACCTTTTGTTAGTGTTTTTCACTTTTATACGTAATTGGTATCATTTAACTAGTTAATTCATCAAGTTCGCTTGGTTGTGTGAAGTCACAAATTTGAGTGAACCATATATGCAAATTTAGGAAAAATGAAGATCTTGTTATGCACAAATAAGTTTCTTAAGTTAAAAAGATATCTAGAGTTTTTCCAAATTTATCTCATGGTGCATTAATGTTTAGGTACGATCTATAGAATAACAGCTTCAAGATTCTGATCTTTTATTATTTACATTAAAAACTAAAGGTATTACATATATATATATATATATATATATATATATATATCTGTGTGTGTGTGTGTGTAAAGCATATGTATTTTCAACTGAATTTTATAGTCTGTTAACTCCTAATGACACTCAAGAACGAAATACTTAAAAAATTTAAGGTTATTGACACAATCTTGACGCACTTGTTCCAAATCATTATATTTAGCTCCAAGCGTTCACTTTAATTATCAATAAATTATTGGCACATGTTAAAAATATTAAAAGTTTATTCAGAGTTTTTTTATTTTTATATTCTTGGTATTGGCTTTACGAAGTATGTTAACATATTGCGAATTCATTTAATTAGTTAAGTCACAGATTTTGATAGTTCTTTTTCATATATGTATAGGAAAATGAATAGCAAATTAAAATAACTAAACAAATCAGAATGAAAGGGTAACAATTATTATACATACTGCATATTCTTCAATGCACTATTTTGGAAAATAGTTATTTTGGAATCGGTCCTCATTATCCTGAATGTGTTTTTTGAACCGATACACTCTGACAGTATTTATAATGCGTAATAAATTTTGTGGATCTATATTTGCAGTTACTGAATTCGATCTATACTCATATCACCTTTGCGAAATTTACGTATACTGCTGGATAAACCTGTATTTTATTCTCAATCAATATTTGAGGAGGGCATGCCTTGACGTTTTCTTCAAATTAGAAACCCATTAAAAACAATCAAAGATCATATTCTGCATTTACTACCGTATCCATTGCAGGTCATCTAAATTTCAAATTGCTATACGATAATCGTATTTCTTTAGCGTATTATTGATTTTAGAAGCAAAAATACATTCGTGAGTGTGAATATAACCAAATATTGAGCGCATGTTGTATGTTAGTTAGACTAGGATTCAGGTCGTAGTCTACAATTCAAGGATAAACATTAAAAATTAATGTTTGACCGCAACTTTCCAAACTGCACCGTAAACTATTTGTACAATGTCAAAAGTGGTTTTCATATCGGAAATAGTTGAATACACATTTTTAAGAATACAAAGAAATACAATATGTTTCAAGCGTAATTAATTATTGGCATGAACGTGCTCCCTAATACGATTCCGAGTCTGTTTTAGAAATTATTATTTTCAAAATTATGCTCGATATTTTACCCTGGAATTACTAACATAATACCATAGTAATGGTTTTTTGTTGAATATTTGACACTATAATTAAAAATTTATTTGTGTATTGTAAAATAATCTAATATAAATTTATATATTAATATACGATAGTTGCACATGTTTCATATACTATCAAAAAATCTAGAAATTCGAAATAACCTAATACATGAAACCTTATCATAGAAAATGTCGATCAAAGAAATCGTCAACAAATATTATTGCACAAATCGACATTATATATTTTATTTAGGTAGGGTTATCAACTATGTCAATTTAATAAAGCGTTAGAAAAACGCAGAAAACTTTTGCTTTATATGTTACATGGAATATAACTGAGCATTTTATGAAAAAAACGCCGAAAACTTTTTGCTTCCCATATTACTTGAAATAAATCTGACAGTCTTCTCCTTGTTATTGTAAAGGTTATATAGACTCACATATCTGACTTGCGTTCGATTTATATATCTAGTTACATATATATATTTAACACATATATATTACACATATATATATAATCCTTATGAAGATTAATAATTCTCAACAACAAAAATGGCAATTTGCATATTGGATATAGAAAAGCTTTCCTCGATCATATAATGCATGATCGAGGTTTAGTGAGCCACCAACTTTATTTGGTTTTGTACATATGAGACTTCTTAACAAGTTAGTTTAGTGATGGATAGACAAATATTATTCCGCCTGTTCACTTTTTCCACCGTATTTTCAAAACGCCTGGCCTGTTTTTTCCAAAAATTAATGAGCTTTTCACATCGTCAATACTTTTCAAATGTTTTTCGAAATGTCAAAACGTACCAGAAATATTCGTATCTGAATGCGTATTTATTTATTAATTCCTACGTACTACATATACAATTAATCAAAGCTTTATTTTGCCTTAAAAATAGTTTTAATTTTCACTACAAAACCGGCATTACTCTTTCGACAGCCTTATACATATATTAACGCACAACTTGGATACATAAAAATCAAATATCTGAAATAAAAATAATTTATCAGTGTAACCGAAGATGCTTTTCTATTTCAAACTACTTTTAATTTCTAAATAATATAATTAAACATACTGTCCTTTTTGATAAAGTTTGATATCTACAATTACAGCAAAAAAATTAATAGTGCGATTTTTTTATTGTAAAGCCGGCACACCATCATAAAATAATCCGATCATAAAAGTTACTATAAAAATGCACCTCCCTCGTGCCGCAATGCTCGTATAAAACACGTGACCCAATAAATGTGTTTTAATGAGATTTCATTGTTTATACAGGTAGACATAAATTTTAATAGCATATTTGATATCAGCTTCTCTCGACAGATGCTGTTGAGAATACTAATGGTGGAAAAACACATTTACACTGAAAGTAATGTGGCTGATGAATCGTATTTATCGATGAGATTATAATTACGAATAGATGTATCATAGATGTGTATGTGTATACTTAAACATTTGGGTGTGATTTTTTTAAGTCAACTCTTGCTGCCGTGTTATATGAGCCGAAAAATTTATAAAACACACACACGTACACATTTGTTATAATATTATGCATTTTTATGCAAGCGTTCATGGTCGTGACATGATGCAATTTGAAGACTTGCTCGAAACTTACATTTTCAATGGTTGAGTTTCCTATGTTTAGCTGAAGAATTTAAAAATCAATGCTGAATTCTTATCTAATTTGAACAAATTAAAAA